AATAACAGTTGGGATAATTTGTTGATCATAAGATTAATGTTATCTAAAGGGTTTAGACACCCTTGTGTTCTGAGCTATTAATAAGAGTTTTACTAAATGAGATATCCACAAGATATCAGATGATAACTGCCTGATTACTTCATAAGTTAGATTGGTTATTTGATTGAAAAATCAGGTACTGAAAGTGTATTGTGGCTAGTCTTTTTGTTAAAATGAAGCATACTGAAGTAATTCACGTGAGAGACATAGGGGAATATGTTATGAACTACTAGTATATGATAATGTATGTCTGTAGCAATATATTTATATATATATTGTGTGTGTGTGTGTGGTCTTACACACATACATACATACATGCATACATACATATATGAACATCACATAAAGTCATTAATGAGCATTGTATAACATGAATTGATTAATTACACAAAGAACACATCAATAGGCAATATGCACATGGGAATAAAATATTTTATTTGAATGTTAAAAAATGGTGAAATATAATAAATGTGATAAATGACCTGAAAGGTATTATTTACAATACAATATATTTGCTATTTTCATTAACGTTAGAGAGTGGGTGTTTCGATTCTGACATTGAAATATTCAGCAGGTAGTGAATTTTAATGCAAAGTATAAAAGTAATAAAGAAACATTATATTTGAGAGGAAACAGAGTTCCGCTTGATCTTTCTTATAACAGTTTTATTTGGCGTTTCTCATAAAAAAGTAGTTCAAAAGACATTTAAGTTGGACCAAACTGATACATTAATGAGTGGGTGAAATTATTATTAGTAAAAAAAATTCACAGACAGAAGCTTAGATATCACAATAAATATAAACTTGGTGTAACAAGAGTGTTATTTGTGATAAAATATTTTCTGTTATTCAGGTTGAAATATTTTAATAAGCACACATTTTTTTAGTACTGTTTCAGTACAAGATGCAGCATTAGAATATGAAAATGCAGGCTATGAGTGTATTAGGGGGAGGCAGGAAGTAGCACCTGTGAGACGAGAATTTTGTAAGTTGTAAGGTCCCTAAGGAATAAAAACGAAAGTTTTGGTGGATACTAATGGTTAAAGGTAATGGTTGGCATTGTTTAAAATAAGTCAGCTTATGTATAAGAAGCTGTTGTAGTCTCGGCCTCTTTTCATTCCTACTGGAACTGGCCACAGTCTATATGACAACCAGATGATAGAAAGAAGAATGAGGCAAGGTTGAAAAGCAAGCCGTGTTTACCAGTTGTCTAGCAGCGGCAATATAGGGTAACATGGCTATAGGTGTTGGTCAATTAGAGATTCAATAAAGCCTAAAGATTTGGAAGTTCTCAAGTTATAGAAATATACGGATTATGGGCAATATAGGGCATGAGTACACATGAAGCCTGTGGAAATGTCATTTGACTGCCACCTGACTAGCAAGTAATTTTTCTACTGTGTTGCTGTCCTGCTAGGAGAAACCTATATTTGACTACAATGGACTCTACCTTTGTATTGAGCCAATACTGCCAGGATGCCGGGGACTTTCCATAAAGTGAGATCACCAATAACTCTGCTGAGCATATTACTCCAGGAACCAGTCTGGTGTTCACCTCAACCCAGTCCATGAGTGAAGATGCATTGTTTGCTGATGGATCAGTCATGGAAGAGTTCACTGCATCTGTTGTCAATTTGATCCTGTAATTTCTAAACTCCATATAGCCTCCACTGACAGTGATAGTGCCTCGGGTAGCTAAGCTCATGGATGTACCAGTCAAGGAGGAAATGCCATCATTGAAGAACACTCCATCGACCCCAGAGAAGCCAACTCTACAGACTGCTTAGCATTTCTATACAGTGACCTTGGTACACTACTGAAGGAAGAGCCACAGAGTAAGAAACATGTCAGATGTCCCACTCAGCAACAGAGTTAAATGTTTTCTCACATCTAATGCGTGAACTACATTCCGAAGCTCCAAACAAATCATTTTGAAACTTAAATTCTCTTGGGGGTCGACCAGGTCTCAGAAAGGCAGAATACACCATGACTTTGACAGTGATGCGGACAAGACAGCTAGCTTGTGGGTCTTTTCACTACTACTACTACCATCCATAGGTGGCAGGAGTTCCAGCAGTCCAGACCAGAAGCTTATAAACCTTGGCAGATACCAAGGCACTTCTAATCAAGAAACTCAGGAAACAGGCCCAGAATAATTATAACAAACTGTCCCATGCTAGAGAAGATTCCCATTTTGAGAACGTACTGTCAGGAGATGGTCACTGACTGGACTTCTATAATAGAGAGGAAAATTGATTGTGGTGGCGAGTAACACCTTTGGTAAAGTTACAGGAGGATGTGTGCCATTTGCAGACCAGGCTACACACGTAGAGAGCCCTAACAAAATTGAGGGAAGATCTTAAAACCATGACATTGGCCAACCACAAAATTATCGTGGCCCTGGAGAATCTGCTTGCTAATTTAATTGATGAGTAACAAAGCCTTTACAGGTTCTGTGTGAATTGTACATTTTACATATTTATTCTTTCATTTAATTAGAAATGTGTATTTTGTGTTGTTTTTTTCACTTTAATGTAATTTCCAAGGGTATATTTTGCAGTTTTTGTGTTTATTGTTTCATTTTATATTTCATTTGATTTATATACATAATTCTAATTTGAGGAGGAAGTTTTATCTAACATTTTCTTTTTATTCCATTAATTTCATGATGTATTTTCAGTGCTTTTATCTTTGAGCTAATCCCTTTTATTTCTTTTCTTTTTTTTTTGCAATGTATTGTTTTGCTTTTTTTTTTAGTGAAATGAGTAATTTACTCTATTTCTTTATGTACCTTTAAAGAATTTATTTTGCTATATTGTAAATTGATTTTCGCGCATTTAAAATTTTCCTTTTGTAACAGATTTAATCTCGCATTTTTTGTTTTAGTGTCAGATGGGTCATTTAATAACTTTTTTATTTTATGTTATGTTGAATTGTAACAGTGATAATGCCTTTGCGAAAGGATTTTCAATTCTTTTCTATTTACCTTTGTTGAATGGCTTAATCTCGTAAATTTCAATGTAAAATCGTTAAATATTCAAATGAGTATTAAATTGTTTATCTAAGTCGTAACCAATATTAAAAGGCTTTTAATTTTGTTATTCTCATGTATAGTGTGTTTCCCAAAAGGAGTCAGTGATCATTTATTAATGTTATATATATTTAATTTTCTATGTTAAAAGGTATTTCATCTGTGTGTGTGTGTGTGTGTGTTACTTGCATTCTTCATCAAAGGATATTTCTGTATCATATAATTTTCATTAATGAAAAGTTTTAGTGTGTTTAAATTCTTACTTTATTGATTAAAAGTGTTTTATTACAAGTGTTTGTTAATGTAATTCCAAAGGTTTTCTTTATATTATTTCATTATGTATTATTTTGTACTTTAAATTTTAGTTAAAGGTTTTTCTTTTCGTGTAGTTAAGTTGTACCATCCATGTTACATGTAATCATTCATAGTAATTGGCTATAAGAGTTTAAAGTTAATTGGTTTTAAAGTTGTATTCAATTGTTGGCTTAAGAACAAGCTGAAAACAAAGAAGGATTGTTTGTTATGGATTTCGCGCAAAGCCACACGAGGGCTATCTGCGCTAGCCGTCCCTAATTTTGCAGTGTAAGACTAGAGGGAAGGCTAGTCATCAACACCCACCGGCAACTCTTGGGATACTCTTTTACCAACGAATAGTGGGATTTACCGTCACGTTATAACGCCCCCACGGCTGAAAGGGCGAGCATGTTTGGTGTGACGGGGATTCGAACCCGCGACCCTCAGATTGCGAGTCGAGCGCTCTAACCACCTGACCATGCCGGGCCAACAAAGAAGGAAGCAAAAGTGTAGCATGCATGTATTTTCTATTTTCTTAGTTTAAGGTAGAAATTTCATTTAGCCTCATTCTATGCATTTTTTTCATAAACACATGGTCCAGAAAACCGTTTATTTGTGTCATTCAAGCTTCCTTTGTTCCTTTACTGTTATCTTGTGGATCAGAGGTTCCCTAACTTTCGCAGTACAAAGCTCTCCAGAACATTCTGTATCCTGACTGAGGACCCCACTGAATGAATTTGTAGAGACTGAGTTCCTTAACAGTATTTTGCTTCTTTTTTTTCTTTTTTCTTTTTGTATTTGACATGCCCCTTGACACTTTACTTTGGCATTCAGTTTGTGAAGTCCTATTATAGATAATGCCTACTCAGACCATGGGAATACTACTGCAACTTCACACAGTGTAAAAGAAGAACAGTAGTGAACAAGTTGATTATATCTAGAGGTTATGGCTTTCACTACGTTATATGAGAACCACCCGTCACGTAAGTAGTTCTAGTTCTTGTTCAAGATTCCAACGTTTTCTGGTAAGTAAGAAGCAGTTCTACTTGGTTTCCAACATGATATCCCTGAGCGACAAAAGCTGTTAATTGATACACAAATCTTGTAGAAGAAAATTATATTTTGTTTGCTCACTACTAAGTTTAAACGGAGTGCTAAAAAATTGCATGTGATGTTTCACTATCGTTTGATGCGTATTCTTTATTATGCACATGTATACATACTAGCAATGTAGAGTATAAATCTAGAGAGCACCATTAATGATACGTATGTTGTTGTATTATACAAACATGCTTTAATTCTGAGGTTTCCAGTGAGTTTGGTCTTATTGCTACTATCCAAAATATTCACCTAGTTTCGTTATTAGATACATAACTCGAAACCTTTTATTTATATTTGAGTCTTATATTAAACTTGTTCCCACCTTTTAAACATTTTGTTTAAATATCATTTGGTAAACCATAACTGGTTAGGCTGAGATGTTCATTAACCATTAAATCTAACTAAATAATCATTAACTATCTAAGTAACCATTTAAACTGTTTAAAATAACCAAACGTTGTGATTTGTTGTTATCTTGTAAACAGATAAAGGAATGTATAGAGAAAACTTCAACATTAAATGTATTATCATTTCAGGTTTTCATGTTACGCCAAAGCTCGGCCTTATCTTTCCAGAGAGCTGTGTACTTATCGTGGTTGGAGTGATCATTGGATTAATACTCTTCTACACCGGCATTGAACAAGTTGGACCTCTGACCCCAGAAGTCTTCTTCTTGTACATGTTACCTCCAATTATTTTGGACGCTGGATATTTTATGCCTAATCGCCTCTTCTTTGATAACATGGGATCCATCTTGGTATATGCTGTAATTGGCACTGTCTGGAATGTCTTAACCATTGGATTCTCCTTATGGGCAATTGGATTGACCGGTCTTTATGGATTAGACATTCCTCTTCTTGACATACTTTTATTTAGTTCCATAGTGAGCGCTGTTGATCCTGTAGCCGTTCTGGCTGTTTTCGAAGAGATCCATGTGAACGAAGTATTGTACATATTGGTATTCGGGGAGTCTCTACTAAATGATGCTGTTACAGTGGTGAGTTAAAATATCATTAAAACACATCCAGTTGTCATTTTCTCATATTTGGTCAATTAGAACGACTGCTTGAACTTGCTTATAAAACAAATAATTGGCGTTGTAATTAATCTAGTTTAGCGCATCTGCAGTAACACTAAATCGATTTGATGTATACTGTATCGAAACAATCGGTACAACTAGTTCACATCAAGTATTTTCCTACTTTAACTGTTTAGAACTGGTGTTTATTAATGTCTGTCTCATTACTCCAATGTTAGTGTTTGAACGTCTCCGTTATTATATTAGAAATATATAAACTTTATTCTCTGCAAAAAAGAATGCGAAGCGGACCCATTTGGATTTTCGCAAAGCTTAAGGTTAAACTAAATTAGTCAATTTTATTTTGTAATGCTATTTTTAGAATTAAAACGAACATAGTTTGAACTTTATGAGTATGATAAAATATGGTAAAATACCATTTTCATTGCATTATCATTTATAGCTTTTTTATGTAATAATAAAAGTTAGAAAAAATTGTGCAATAGAAAATTTAAAAAGCAACATACTTTACATACTTCAAAATGTCTAAAATCGTTTGATTAAGAAATTACGCTGTGTAACAAAACACAGAATTTGAAAAAGCGGATTTTAATTTTAAGAATCATTGAACTCGTAATAAATGGTTGTTAGCCGAAAGGAACTTCAAAAAATAAGTTGAAAATAGATAGGGGATATTTTTGAGCTATCAGAAGAATCGACATTTCTTGAAACATGTTTATCAGGCTGTAAAAAAAATCATCTTGTACCTGCGATGTTTATGAGGAACACGATCAAGAGCTATGGTTCGATTCTAGTGAAAAATCCCAAGATAAACAGTATTCGATTTATTTCAGTTATCTACTTGTTAAAAATTGTGTAATAACGAATTTAAAACAGCCTTAACGCATAGCGAATCTTTACATTTTGATTTACTTACGTTAGGAAGTAAATTATCATTTACTGCAAAAATTTGCCCAATCATTCACGCGTCTGCTGAGTAACTAAGTTGGCGTTGATTCAGGCCTTAGCAGTATGACTGTAGTCAAACACAATATATTTTGTATCACCTCCATTTGTGAATAAGGCCAGATAGACGCCCATATGTCGTCCCTGAAGAAAGCGCTTAGTAAATGATTATAGTTGCATTTATATATTTGTTTTCCTTACTAGGCTTGTAAAAAACAAAACAAATAATTTTAGCTCAACCACATTAACATATTTTCTGTAGTAGTAAATTATCAACTTTAGATATATATACAACATATGCAAAATAGATTTAAAACTCGTAGAAACATTGATAAAACAGAGCATGATAAATCAGTACAATAGGGTTTCATTAACTTAGTATATTGAGTTTATACAGCTCCTCCATGTTCTGTTCTTCCAATATCTTTGTCGAGTTATGCCAAAGAGACACTTTAACAGGCGATATAAGATTGATATCCACAAATATTTTAATGTTATTTGTATGCATAGGCTAATCGATACAGAAAAAGCTATAGAAAATCATATTATCAATATATTTATATATTGTGACGGATTTATTATTATACATTTATTTGAATATCGATGTTTGTTTAAATTAAACTTGTATTTAGAAATGTACATAACTTCTACTGTTAAATATGTATTGCG